TGCATCCTCTGGTCTAACCAGGTTTGCAAGGTAGAATTGGGATCATGATAGTTGGGGAGAGGAAGCGTTTAAGAACTAGAGGAAGGTTGTGAGTTTTATCAATGCCACACTGCACCTTGAGTGACTCATCTCCTCCCCAGTACCCCTCTGCAAGGGATGTCCACTTATCTACAGATGGGCATTGGGTCCCCATCACACGCTCCCCTCATTCATGATATGATTTTTTTTCTTAACGACACAGCAAATCTGGCTCCTTTAAGATACCCCCCCCCCCATAATCATATTCAAAGCTTATGTACTGAAAACAGAGCAGAAGGTTTACTGACTCACCATCTCATCCTTGTCGGAAATCAACTGTGGGTCATGTTTTTCATCCTCTCTTGTCATCAATCTCTCATACAGGTCACTGACAATAAATGAAGGGTAATATCTATCCTTCAGCATCTCATACACACCGCTCTGAATTTTGCAGAATACTTCAATACCTTTATTTCCTACCAGACACTGCTGGATTTCTTTGTATAGTGATTTTTCCACAGATATTTCTTTGCTCTCCACAAAAAAATTCTGATAAATTTCACCAACTAATTGTGGAATTTCATTCTGGAAAGATAAAATAGATGAAGAAAGGAAGAAAAGTAAGAAATATCAACTCTGAGATAAAAATTCTTTTCCTTGGAGTACTGTGTCTGTCAAAGCTGGAGGGATGACATTCAAAATGCAGGCTGGCACTGTTAACAGCCTGAGCCTTCTGTGTCTACATTCAAGGCCAAGGGGAAAATGTCAAACCCTGGGGGGTAAAAACCATTCTCTGAAAACAAAGAAACCATTTGGTGCTGTATGATTAACATGTGCAATTTCTTTACTCACTGGAGGGAGAAGAAAAAAAGTCATAACAGATTTCTTCATAATGTATTCTTTTTCATGCATGTCAAGTCACAGGTATCTAGTGTATCGGCTATATTCAAAGTAACTTTTCAGCTAATATAAATAATTTTTGATAATTATATGTGCCATATCTCACCTAGAAAGTCAACTGAACAATTATGTAACTTAAGAAAACTACATTGAGAATGATTTCTTATTTCATTGTAATCAAGTTTAAATTATACAGCTTGTACTCAATATTATTTAGATCATCAGCAGCCTATTTTGAAAATACAAACATCTATCCTGATTGGGATAATCTTTATATTTCCTCTAGATACATTCCTTCCCTCTAGGACAGCGGTTCTCAACCTGTGGGTTTTGACCCCTTTGGAGGTAGAATGACCCTTTCACAGGGGTCACCTGATTCATAACAGTAGCAAAAGTACAGTTATGAAGTTGCAATGAAAATAATTTTATGGTTGGGGGGTCCCCACAACATGAGGAACTGTTTGAAAGGGTGGCAGCATGAGGAAGGTTGAGAGCCACTGCTCTAGGAGCTCAGTGCAAAGTCTTCAACAGTCATAACATTTTTTTTTTTTTTAAAAAGGATACAACTCAATGAGTATAACTCATTTAACATATGGTCCCAGAGTTTTAGATCCAAATAAGCGTTTCTGGGGCAAAATAAAGCTACTTGGGGAGGCTATACATTCTGATTGAAGTTTTTCAACTGATTTTAGTAATTTAAGAAAGCTCTTTAGATTGTTGTTTTACACTATTCCCTTAAGAGCAGCCAGAAGACAGGTGGAGTCGTCAGGAGTTAAAAAGCTGGCGAATACAATATCAAGTAAAATGAAATCATTTGTGGCTCGGAAATTAAGAATGAAAGGCCATCTAATGCAAACGATTTAAAATTACCATAAAACTGATATAGTGCCTTAACCAAGGTACTTTGTAATTGATGTACTTCAAACCATCCTTCTGCACCAGCAACAGTCACACTAAGTGCAAAGGGAGAATTCAATGTACAGAATACCTGCGGGGATAGTTTCACGTTGCTGTTGCGCTGTGTGCCACTGAACGGGTGCTGACTCAGAGGGCCTCCACGGGACAGAGCACCTCCTCATGGGCCCTCCCAGGCTGGGGTCTTCACAGAGCAGTTCACTGGTCTTTAATGCTGCAAAGCCACCAATGCCCTACAGAGGAGCATTGGCCATCGGTCTTCAGGGCTCATCGATATTTTAATATCAAACCTCTCAGAGTGCTATATGTGGGTATATTTTTGCCATATATGTACTATATGCTATGTAGGCTAATGCAAGTATATTTCATATTAATTTAATTCTTAAATATATATCAAGAATTATCCAAGTAATGAACAAAATAATCATTTATAAATTATCAAGGGGTCATGAGTGAAGGAGGGTGGAGGAGAGGAAAAAAATGAGCTGATAACAAGGGCTCAAGTAAAAAGAAAATGTTTTCAAAATTATGATGGCAACATATGTACAAATGTGCTCGACACAATGGATGTATAGATTGTGATAAAAGCTGTAAGAGCCCCCAATAAAACAATTTTTTAAAAATTGTCCAAGTATAAAACACAATGGTTATTGTTGAGTTTCTTCATTGCAATTCAATGATTTTTCTGTTACTTTCCCCAACTATATTCTAAAGGAAATAAAGAAGAGCAGTGCAAAATGTGTCCATAGTAATATTAACAATTGCTGTAAAGGTTCTGAGACAAAGGTAACAAGCCCAAATTATAAGAGCAATGTGAATCTGTATATTCTTTTTAATGGTATCGTTAAAAAGTAACAACTGAAAATAAATAAATTTTTAAAAAGTAGCAACTTTTTGAAAAGTTCAATCTGTTGGTAATGCACCCCTTAAATACATAGTCAATGTCACTGCCTATAAAAATAAAATCTAATTGTATCAGAATACGCCAGTACATCATGGCAATATTGTAATTGGTTTAAAATATTCTTTTAACATATGTGGATGGAGAGGCTTCAAGAGGTTGCTGGAAAAAAGAAACTAATACATTGAAATTTTCCCTCAAACCTCTTAAAGCCTTTCATGTACACTTTAAAGCTGATTCACTGTATGCTTATGATTAAGTAACAGTACAGTAAAGATAAATTCATAGTTAGCTTATATTTTCAGAGATAATTGCCTAGCATGCAAGATTTCAGCAGCGGTGGTTCATTCTCCTTTGTGTCTACATGCCCCACCTTGTTAGCATTCTTTAGATGTTCCACAGATTCCCAAAAACGAATCAGAGCTCGCTTGTCCGTCCTTTCCATGTAGATTCGAAAATGCTCTCGGTAGTTGGTATTGGCCAAGATATCTTCAAATTGAAGAATCTGTTAAGATAATGTAAGTAAAAGTTACAAACAATAAAAGAATCAAATGCAAATATTAAATATCAGCTTGTTATAACTTCCAATATCTTAATTTCTACAATCAAGAAAAAAAGGCCTCATTTCTGAAGTTCATACTTATTGTGGTATAGCACACCTAGTAAATTGAAATGTCTCTTTCATATAAATTTTAAATATTGAATATTCAAAGTATACATTTTTATAAGACTACCAGCTTTCTATTAATCGATCATTCATTCAAGAAAGAATTATCTGGCATTTACTCTGTATGAGGCACAATTCTAGGCCATAAGACACAAAAAACCCTAGCCCTGTGGGATGCACATTCTAGTCTAAAAACAACAGGGATCACTAATGGAAAAGTGAAAAATAAATATATAAGACCAAGAACCAAGTATTTAATTAGTTTGGCAAAATTTTTTCCATCTTATTTTTATGTAACTGAGGAAATCTATATGTGGTTTTATATCATAGTTTTGGTTTAAGTAGCACATTCATTAATAAGTCTTTTTACAGCCATAAGTTTAACTGGCCCATAACAGTATATTGTATAGACAAAGTACCAACATTAGTTCAACTACTCCCTTTGGACGACCATTATAGGAGTTCATGTTTAGCACGATTTATTTTTTTTAATGCTCACAGAGAAAGAAATCCACGCTATATGAAGACCAAGGAGAACAATCTTCAGGGTGAATTGCCATCATACAAAAAGCAGATGACCTGAGTAATAACTTATGACTCAATTAAACAGGATAAATGCCTCAAATAAATTGAGAGGAGATTTAAGCCTTATATCCTTAGTTTTGAATTAGTAATCAGAAAATACATCCCTAAATAGTGGAGTTCAAACACAATGACATGAAAACTTGAATTCTGAGTTTTTCAATTCAATACTGTGGCAGTAGCAAATTTTCAGAAATGTTACCAGTAAGATTTTTCTAAAATCAAGTACATACAATCAGTCCAAGTTCAACTGTGTGGCACCAATCATGAGTAGGAATCCATCAAACCTGTTTTGAGGCAGCAAGAGCAGTATTTTCCTAAGAGCTTCTGGTAACGAATCAAAGGAGATGGCCATTCCTTGCCTGTAGCATTAGTATTCAGTTTACACAAATACTCCAGACCAGTAGTGTATACACTTTTAGACATTATATAATCTGTCTTTACTGTGTGTAAACCTTACTACTCAAGCATTTTGAAGAATGAGTCCTAAGTATAAATGCTCCCAAATGGTTTGAAGGAACTCATTTCAAGTTTGCAACTTTGGACGACAAAGTAATTGCGTTTTATTTATTTTTTGTATGAGGAGAATGTGAGTAGGAAGATAACAGGGCAAACATTCAATAAATTCTAAGGATGTCTTCCCAATATAAATTTACTTTGTTTAAAATGAATTTCAAGTCTCACAACTTGCAAAAACAAGTCAAAAAACTTCTTCCAAAATACGAGTAATTTTTAGATTCCTTTATTTTTGTCTTATCCTCTATTTTCAGCTCCAAAAGTATAAATATATACAGTACAAATAAATGACAGAAAATATATCTGTAGTGCAACTAAGTATACTTCTTTACAAATCTATCCTAAAAAGACTCCTATTCAGGGGAAGAAATATACGCACATATACTTATACTAGTGTGTGTATGTGTGTGTAGATATATATATATAGACACACACTATTTTTAGTTTGCAGGTTTAACTATTGTGGTAGCTACACAATCTCGTTTCAATTTGAGACTATTAAGAGTGAAGGGTGGAGTTTGGCCTGTCAATCTGGTTGCAGCTTGATGACCTCTATTCACTCTTTTCACAAGCTTGAAACTTCTTGTAATCAAAGTATAGCAATATCCATGAGGATTAAATTTCATTTATCTAATATATCTTTTTGCTGAGGGTAGAGGGAGAGCTCTTGGTGAAAATGTCTTATTTTTGAGAACTTTTCCTTTACCATGAATATTTTTGCCTCATGTCTTTTTTTAATCATTTTGAGGGCTCATACAACTCTTATCACAATCCATCCATCCATCCATTGTGTCAAGCACATTTGTACATTTGTTGTCAGCATCATTCTCAAAACATTTTCTTTCTACTTGAGCCCTTGATATCACCTCATTTTCCCCCTCTCCGGCCCTCCCTCCCTCATGAACCCTTAATAATTTTGAAATTTTTTCCCCATGTCTTACACTGACTGCTGCCTCCCTTCACCCACTTTTCTGTTGTCCCTCCCCCTAGGAAAGGGTTATATGTAGATGTCTCAAAAGTCTTACTGGTCTATGCTTCCCTGTTAGTTGCCCACCCCCTCCTATTAGTTTTTAACATCTTCAAAACAAACTCTTTGAGATAAAATTATCATATCCATCTTAAGTCCGTTTTTAAAGCTTTGGCAGTTTTGTACCCCTATAACCACTACCACAATTAAACCAGAACCTTTCCATAATGTCCAAAAGTGTGGCCAATGCTCCTCCCAGTTCCCAAGCAACCACTGACCTATTTTCTGTCTTTAAGATTATTTTTTCTGTGCTCATACACACAAGCATGTAACAGAATACACTCTTTGGTATCTAGTTTCTTTCAGTGTACTGTTGCTGATATTCACCCATGTTGCTGTATCATTCCTTTTTATTGCAGAATAGAATTCCATAGGATGAATATACCCCATGTGCTTGTCCATTTTGTGGATAACAGAGATTTGGCTTTTGTTCTAGTTTGAAGTTAATATGAATAAAGCTCCCATGAACAACTTGTGGCAGTTACATATTCTGTCAACTTGTGAAGAGGTGGGGTCTAGCCTGTCAATCAGGTCATAGCCATGGAGGCCTCTGTGTGGGCATGGCCTTCGTCTGAGGATTCTGGAAACCCCTATCTTCCTCCCCTGAGCTGGGACACACTCTCTCTGCTTCTTCTTCCTGTTGACAAGCCACCTGGAGCTACACTGATGGAGCCAGAGTCCTGGAGCTGGAGGAGCCACGTGGAGACCCACGCCAGTGCTGAAATGCTCCCACAAGACTTTTCACCCACTGGCCTGTGATCTTCCTGCTTTTGATATCATTGTATGTGCTTTGTGAGTCTGTAGAAGAACTCATGGACTCTATTTGGGCATATGGGCTAATATCGGACTTATGGACTTGATCTGGACTGAGCTGGGATGCTTTCTTAATATACAATTACTCTTTATATAAAGCTCTTTCTTATACACATGAGTGTCTCCCTAGATTTGTTTATCTAGTCCACCTGGACCCACACACATCTATATGTAAGTCTTTAAATAAATGTATGTTTTAATTTCTCTAGAACTAGAATTGCTGGGTTGCTGGAGAAGTGCAGGCTTACAAAAGTGACCAACCTGTTTTCTAGTTATACTATTTCCAGTGATACTATTTTCTTTCCAACAGCAAGGTGTGCGTGTTCTAGTGCCCCACATACTTCCAACTCTTTGAGATATTGTGGGAAGGGGTGTTGTTTTTTATTGCAATTATTTCAATGGTAATACAGTAGTATCTCACTGTAATTTTAATTTTCATTTCTCTGATAAAAATTATGTTAAAATAGGAACATAGTACCTCGCATATTCTCCCCTTAGGTTCTATATATGTATTTTAAGTGGTTTTTTAGGTTCTATATATGTATTTTAAGTGGTTTTTTAGGTTCTATATATGTATTTTAAGTGGTTTTTTAGGTTCTATATATGTATTTTAAGTGTTTTTTTTAGGTTCTATATATGTGTTTTAAGTGTTTTTTTAGGTTCTATCTACGTATTGTAAGTGGTTTTTTTTCCCCCCTGATGGGAGGTTGTTCCATCCAATTTACTGAAAGAAGTGTAATCACCTGCTGAGACATATGCTCC